TGCCATTTCCCTCTGCGGCAGGAGATGGAAGACTATAGTGGTTTTATTTAAATAATCTAAGCTAATTTTTTTTTTCTTTAGCACAAGTTAGGGTTAGCTGCAATTTTCACAGTATTTGAATATATTTCAAAAGTTAATGGTGTATACTATTTATATAGACAGTACCGTGTTGTTGTATGGTGTCCATACCGGTCACCGTCAAGGGAGAGGATCTGGCTTTTTTCTGCATTCGTGTCATCTTACTAAATTTCTCTTTCCTTTGAACTTGGAAATAGGTGCTTTATTTATTTATTACAAAGTGGTATTGATATACTTTGTGATGCAGTGGACAACTAAAACGATCATTTGTGCATTTCATTATTCAAGATGGCAAACTCTTAAATAATACAAGCAGATAGAGACTTAATTGAAACGTCAATATTCAGAATGCGAATACTATAACAATTATAAAACACGTTTTGTGCACTTTTTTGCATTTCTAACTGATATATTTAAGTATTAACCATCTTTTACTTTGCCTGGTTTTCCATGCTGCAAGACAAATGACCACGGGACAATAAAGAGTGGGTTCGTCGTAGAGCACTTGAATGCATCATAGCCAACATCTCCACAGGTGGTTACTTTAACAGCTCCGATAAACGTGAGCTAATACAGATGGCTAATGTTTAGAGTAGTAGCTATCCGGGAGAACAGAGCATCTCTAGTGCGTAACAGTATTCGGTGGAATTTGACATTTTTAGGAAAAGACACTAACAACGGATGCATACTGTGTTACCCTCAGGATGAGAAGTACGACAGTGGTACTAAGGGCTTTTAAAAAACATCGCCACACTAATTTAGCTTGAAGCAAGAAACTAACTAACGTTAGCAGAATTTAATTTGTCCATTATGTTTTGCTGATACATTTCCAGTTAACTGTCGCGACTCTGACGTATCATCAGCTTTAGATAACACTTTAAAAAAAGCTAAAAGCTCAGAAATCAAGTTGATTTTCAGGTTAACGTGGCTCACGTTAATATAGAATCGACTTTCGCTGACTTCCAGTCAAAAGGATTTGACAGACTTAAACATTGACTTATCCAACTTTTTATAGAGGTAAGTAAAGTTAACCTCAACATTGCCGTCTACGTTAACTTTATGACTGAATTATTATGTTTTTCGGTAAATAGGAAAAGTCCAACTGTTTACCTTAAACTAGCAGACTTGGTCTTGCAATTTTCTGGAATAATGGACTTAACTGTAGGCTGTATTTTGAAAGAGCTTTTATCAAGCATGTATTTTGCCAGGAAGAGATCTATAAATGATTTACTGTTTGCAGATGGCAGTGTTAAATGATAGGGCAAAATGTAATTCGTCATGAAATAGTCAATGTGAATTGTAATTTCCTCATTCCATTGTGGCTTGGTTGTTCAGAGTGAGGTTTCACAAATGACAGTAAATCAGCAGATGCATGTGACAGACTTCAGTATCCAACACTGGTATTTCTTTGCCTGTTGTTTTGCTAAAATAGTTTTCTTTGAATGTGCAGTGTTAGGGTTTTCAGATGTAGAATGTATTTGTTTATGTTTCTGTTCCAGGAGCTGAATGGCCTCTGCTGTAGCAGTGAAAACTGAGAAGCGACCTGCAGCTGATTCTCAGGATGCAGACTCAAATGCAAAAAAGCCCAGGTAAGCTCAGGTGCTGCTTTGGAGCCAGCTGCGCACAGAGCACATAACTCATTCATCAGTTTTGTCAGCCGGCTTGATTAAATTCTTTGTTTTCTTGAGCTCTTAATTTTGGCAGGTTTTAGTTTCACACTGCATGTGTGTGTATTTCAAAATGGTTTGTCTAACCTTAATGTCAGAAGGATTTGGGAAGCACCTCCTTTACAGCCACCATCACTCACTCTCTGCCTGTCCCAAAGGAAACTGCTACCCAGCCTGAAGACTAAGCGAGCCCCTGAGCTTGTCCTGGTAATTGGCACAGGGGTAAGCTCTGCAGTGGCCCCCCAGGTCCCTGCACTCCGCTCCTGGAAAGGCCTCATCCAGGCTTTGCTCGATGCAGCTAATGACTTTGACCTATTAGAGGAGGAGGAGAGTCGGCGTTTCCAGAAGCACATGGAGGAAGATAAAAATCTGGTGCATGTGGCCCATGACCTCATCCAGAAACTTTCCCCGGTAAGACTGCCTTAGCCTTTTTCTTTGCTTTTCATTTTGTACACCTCCCTTTCACACATGTACAAACACATGGCAGACAGACTGCCGGCTCACTGTCCTTTCCTCAGCGGGGGGCATTTTGTTTCAGCTTCCATTGAGATAAGACATCTTAGTCTTATCTCATTTAAAGACCTATTGTTAATGACATGAGGCTTGTTTGTGAGGCTTGTTCATGGAAATGAATATGGTTAATAACTGATGTTGAACCAGTCAGACCTGCAATGCATGTACTGTTTTCTGTCTCTGATTTTTGGCACTTTAAAATGGTGTTTTATGGCTGTTGGCAAACAAACAAAAAAAAAAAAAAAAAAAAAAACCCTAATGAAGACAGAGTAGCTGAAGCACAGTTTTATTTTTTCAACCCTCCCTTACCCACCTTAATCAAGGCTTAATACATAAATATATACAACAAACCTGTATTAATCTGGTTTCTATGCACCAAAAAAGGCAGCGTATAGCCACGATAATAGGGTAGTTTGGGAGGTCTGGCAACTGTTGTTTTGATTTTATAATCTTGGTAAGAACTTATTTGGTAAGAATTTATTTAAGATTGTATTTAGTGAAGCAGCACCTACTTTTAAATAATACAAATGTTCAATCTGGTGTTGATTTTGTTCCTGTCATTTGCTCATAATGATATTTACAGATAACAATTGCAGAAAGCTTTCATGTTAGTGGGAGTAAGGCAACATGGCTGATTATATTAAATAGCAATTCAGTTAATACCTCTGTGCAATCTTTTTCTTAGAATGTATACATATTTATGTTAAAAAGGAGATAAAATCTATTGTGATTTTTCCCTGAAAATTTAATAGACCAATGAAGTACACCAAAACCACTAGAAAATTTGTAACAGACATTACAAAATCGCATACTTAAGATGACAGAGGCAACTTTTTTCTTAATTTTTCCATAATAATTCAGTGAAAATCATACATTTTGAATGAGAATACAGTGATTCTCATCCTTCTAAAGAACCCTGCAGCCCTAAACCAGTTAGACTGTTACAAAATAATTGGAAGACACATGAAATTGATTCAAACATTTCTGGAGTTCCCTTTAACTCTGTTCTCCTCTTATGGGACCGGTCCCGTCTGGAGCAGGGCTGGCAGATGGGAGCCTTAATACCGTTTGCCTCCTGTGTTAGTCATGTCTCATCGCACCTTTGACATTGATAAAACATGCTTTGTTTCAGCCCTCAGCCTGTTGTCACAAAGGGAACAGACAGCACTTTTATGGCTTTATCCGTTGTGTTTATTTCAGTCCACAGTTGTGCAGACACCCGCTCACTGCCGTTGGCTACAGGCACAGCAGGATCTAGCATGCTGAGGAAAAAAAAAACAAGCATAGAATAATCTGAAATAGCCCCCTCCAACCCAGTTTTCCATTCAGGGTTGAAACACAACCCAAACAGCAAGTACACAGTAAGTTGCAGTAGAGGACAAACATTTAGAAGTTTCATTAACAAAACCATTTATAATGTCCTTTGTTGCAGTTAAACACATGTTAACACTAGACCTGAGTTGATGTACCTGGCTGTTTCAGGTACATTTGGCTGAAGTGAAGGAATTTCTCCATGTGCGAATCATAGAGCTAAATTCTACATGCCTCTTAAGCAGAGGAACTAATTTATTTGTGACAATCTTATTGAAACCTTTTCATTGCTCCTCTAAAATGGATAATTTCGCTGTGATCTTAATCATTGATTGTGATCAAGGATCTAGCAAAAGCTGTGCTAGAAATGCTAATATGTCCTAATATCAAAATACTGTATTAGGGTGTAAGAGACCTGTCCCAGTTAATTCCCATAACAGTGGGACTGTGACAGTTTAACCCCCTTTTTGTGGGAATGTGTATCTGAATGATAATGGATGGATTATAGTGGTCTGTAGGCACATAATGTGAAGTAATGAGGGTAATCTGAAGTAAAGGCTCAAAAAGAATGTTTGTCATAAATTCTTTCTCACCTTTGGCAAAATCGAGGCTTAGTACAAGATTGCTCACTAGTTTGTTTGCTCAGTCATGCAAGAAATGTAAACTTGTTTTGTTTGGTTGTTTTGTGTAAAAAAACAGATCATCTGCTGATAGTCATTTTGGTGATGATCCTAGATTTTTATGCCTTAATGCCAGTGACAGCCGTGGCCAGAGGCATTATGTTTTGGCGTTGTATGTATTTATAGTATGTCCATCCCATTCTTGTGAAGTCAGTATCTCAGGAATGAGTTGAGGGGATTTCTTCAAATTTGGCAGTGAGCATGTTTTTTTCTACTGTGAACAGGCAGAGGTCTGGGTATTAAAGCTGTCTTACATTGCAGCAGTGGTGAACGTCTTCCCAGCTGTGTGTACTTTATAACTTAGATATGACAATTTAAAATCCCAGGATAATTTTTTTTATTACGAGTTTTACTTTCTCTTGGTTTAGTAGGTCACAGTACCGCTGGTTGTTTGTTGCAACTTTCTTTCCAGCTGTTATCACGCTGCGTTCAGTGCTGTTAAAATAAGCTTAGCTTGATTGATTATTAAGTTTGAGGGCAAACACAGTGGTATATCCTCGGTCTCGAGTTCTTGCACTGTGCAAATTCCTATTGTCACAAATACTCTCTTATTTGTTGATGTATTGTCTGCAGTGATATCAGCTAAACTTAACTCTGTACATTCGGTTAATTTGGTAATTCAAACTTACAAAGCATTTGTGTGAAAAGTACACCAGTTAGTTTCTTATATGTGCAAAATATTGTGCAGTTTTTTTTAACACAAAACATAATTATTCTTAGCTTTTCTTTTCTATTTATTTATTCCTTCACAGAGAACGGGAAATGTGCGATCCACATTCTTCAAGGACTGTCTGTATGAAGTGTTTGATGATTTGGAGTCCAAAATGGAGCATGCAGGGAAACATCTACTGCGCTCAGTGCTGCAGTTAATGGAGAGTGGTGCACTGGTCCTCACTACTAACTTTGACAACCTGTTGGAGATCTATGCAGCTCACCAGGGCACTAAGCTGGAGTCTTTGGACCTGACGGATGAGAAGAAGGTAAACAGTGCTCATATCATGCAGTGGCATTGCTTGATCTTTTGTGCCACGATACATCCAGTCAGCTTTTTCAAATAAGTGCAAAGGTCACTAAAGCAACCATTTTAGGTTAGGCCAGGATCAGCTTGTTGGGGTTTTAAAATCCTGACACATTTTTGATTCAGGTTGCATTTCACACTTTTAAGCATGGCCTTCCGTTCACTGGAGCAGGAAAATTGTAGGTAAATCTGCTGGAATAAGATCTTGTTGAACCCGCTGCACTCTTAAGATTTACATTTACAACATTTTGACCTTTCAGTGAAGTTCCTCGTTGGCCAGTTTTGGAGAAAAATAGATAATGCTTTGACCTGAAAGAGCCTTTTGTCTCTTACAGATAGGGGGAGGTTAAAGTTCTAGCCATTACTCAGATGCTGTCAAATTTTATAGATTGAACAATATTTGCTTTTGTTTAGGACTGGGCAGAAAAGAAACCTGGTGTGTTCCCAGTCAATATGGGTTTAGTTCACTTCTGACCAGTTTCACCACAAACTCTGTTTGTCAACTCACATTATGTGCTGGTTAATTGAAAGGTGACTTTATTATTTGTTAAATAGAACAAAAATTTGCAGAAATTACTTTTCTGAGTGACTGTTGCCTTGCCTCTCAGTCTTGGTATTTATGCCTTGTCTCCATCAGGGTCAATATCCCTTCACTCCTGTTCAGTGATTTTTACTCCCTGCCCGGCCAGAACAGGATTGAGTGCAATGGACTGTTAAGTGTGTGTGCACTTGTGTGTGTGTGTAGGTGCTGGAGTGGGCTCAGGAGAAACGGAGGTTAAGTGTACTTCATATCCACGGTGTTTACACCAACCCCAGTGGTATTGTACTACACCCTGCTGGATACCAGAATGTACTGAGGAACACTGAGGTTATGGTGAGTGCTGAAATTCTTCTCAATTGGCTCTTCTATTGTGTCCTCATAAATTTGTAAATAACATGAGGGTACCATATTAATGTTTAAATTGGCCAGTTCTTGGGAAAGACCGCCTGTACCAAATTGCCTCTGATCCTGCAGTTTGGTTAATCTGAAATGGTAGATTTAGTAAAGGGTAATAACACACTGCTGTTTTAACAGCGTGAGATCCAGAAGCTGTATGAGACCAAATCATTCGTGTTCCTCGGCTGTGGGCGCACAGTAGATGACACAACCTTCCAAGCTCTGTTCTTGGAGGCAGTGAAACACAAATCGGACCTGGAACACTTCATGCTTGTGCGGCGGGAGGACGTGGGTGAGTTTAAGAAGCTGCGTGACAACATGCTGGACAAGGGCATCAAAGTCATCTCCTATGGAGACGAGTATGCCGACCTGCCAGAATACTTTGAGAGGCTGGCCAATGAGATCTGCAACCGCGATGTGTCTGCCAACAGCTGGGGTAAGGTGGATGAAGGCCGGTTACTTTTCATTTGTTTGCTTGTTTGTAGTAGTTATGCACATCAGTTTAGATGAAGTCTTTCAACACATCATTTTGCCTTAGCTACTTGTGAAAATCTTTGTTTTTACTAAGTTCAGTCTATTTTAATGGGGCACTCCACCGGTTTTACACAAGATCCAGTACTGAACAAGCTGTATACTTCCATGTGGGAGCATTTCGGTTTGAAACTCTATTGATGTCATCGGGCTCTTATGAATAATGCTGAGTTGCATTATGGGAAATGTAGGATCTTGTTCTTTGAAGCTTGCTCAATATTACTGGTAGGTACTACAAGTCGGGATATTTCAGATTCTACTACTTTGATTTTGACCAAACTGGTTTTGTGCGAGTCCACTGACCTAATGGATGTGCAGTACTAAATCACTGGAGCGCCCTTTTAAAGGTTTGACATTGACACCGGAGTAGTCAGTGTTTGGTTGCTTCTGCAGTCAAAACTACAGGTTCTGATGCATTCCCCAATCAAGACAAAGACTTTTATTTAATAGTAGAGTACTTCAACTACTAGTAGTGGTTCTAGGGTATCAGGTTGGATAGAGAACCTGTTGAGCATTGCTCTGATGAAACTGAATGTACACATCTGATACTTGATTCTTTACTAGGTTCTTTAAGTGCAACCTAGAGGCTCAACACCAAGTTAACCTGCCATATTGCACATTAGATTTAGGACAGAAATAAAGGTTTTCTGTCAGTGTTGGATCTTTTTACATTGCAGCACAGCAGATCTAGCCAACAGCTGTCCTTTCTGAAAAACGTTGCCAATTTATAATGCAATTTTTTTCTCTCTCTCTGCCTACAGGGTCACCCTCACAAAATGGGGAGGAACAACAGACCGGCTGTAACACACAGAAAAGCCTCCTTCAAGGTTAGGATTGAATGCTTCTCTTTGAATTCAGACAGTGACTACTACATGCTGGTAGATTTAAAAGAAAACCCAGTCAGTTTTGGAGTTTCTGTAACAAAGGGCATTCCTTTACACCAAGGTACAAATGACTGCAGCTGTGTATGCCTAGTGGTCAGTGGCAACATTTTAGTTGATGCTCTTTGTTTTACAACTCTTCATTCAAGTCCTGTCATTCTCATTTTGCCCAAGACTATCATAACGGACAGGCCCAGGTCAGGATCCGTATCATTTTCCAACACAGCCCTGTCAAGAGATCAGTCTGCTTCGAGTCTAATTGCAGGCAATGGATTAAGAAATCCAGGAACGTTATAAGCCATGGGAGACCTAAAAACCATTGTAGTTTAGCATTTGTCTATTTTGTCCCTTTTACTTTTTTAATCTAAAAGGAAACATTTAAGGTAACATCAGTGCCAATACCCATACTCTCTTTAAATATTGTTGAAGCCTGCAGAGGAAATGTTATGTTATGACTTGAACTTGAGCAAAATGATAGATCTGAGTCTACTGACAGCAGTCGACTGTACTGCTTGAATCTGGGCATGAATTAACAAGAATGTAGTTAAATAAACTGTATCACCTTGACCAACTTGCCCTGTAAAGAGAAGTTCTAGGAGCAAGCTAACGTACATCACATGCTTGTAACCAGAAAAACGTAAACATTTTCTTGACATGTAAGGATTCTATGCTCAGCGATGAAACCAGGAAAATTTGATTTGCACACTACTGGATGGAGAATAATAGAAATACTTCTTTGTCAAGGATCTATCTGATTTAGCGAAAACAATATTATGACTCTTCAAATACAAGTTCAGAAGAGTGTGTTTTCTTAGCAGCCATGCCAGTAGCAATCACTTTGCCACTTGTGTTGAAACTAAAAAATTGTTCTTTTTAAAGCTTTTTTTGTATTTTTAATACTTGTATGTGTTTTCTGACTTAATATTTATAAGTTCTATTTTTAAAGTAAAGTATTTGGTATCTCATTTGTACTGTCATGTTTTCACGAGAGCAGTCTGTATGGGGTGTATCCTTGTTCCTCTGCAACATATGACAGAAAAAGTTCCACTTTATAGGCTGTCATGGCATATAGCAGCTTTATTTAGAAATGTTTACATTCTCATAAATTAGCTCAAATTTTCTTTATAATTCTCAATCTCCTATTCTCGTATCACGAATAAGGGGGGGGGGGGTAGAGATATTTAAGACTCGTATTTCCTCTTATGAACTAAGAGTAAATCAGAGGGGGAAAACCTAAGTAAGGCCCATAGAACTTCAACTGACTACACCTTAAGTGTAATCTGAAATCTGTGGACAACCACAGCTGTAAAGACTAAAAATAAACTTGCAAAATATTCTGCACTTATCACCAACTACAAAGGGAGGGATTAAAGTCTCCATTTTGAATTGAATTTGAATTAGGTAGCTGAGGAGCTCTGGGAATTGACTTTCAGAAACCAATCCATCTGAAACTAAAGCACCACAGTTGATGATGTGCTATTTCATGTTACAGAGGATTGCTATTGATTGATCCTGGTCTTTACCTACTCCATGGTGTATTTTCCCAGAACACCTGCTAACTTAAACAAGTGCTGACATTCACGCCCACTCTATGGCCAACTGTAAACTGATTCAGACTCAATGGACTAGTATCTGTATCTTGCTGGATAACCACCCATGTAGGAAAAGGGTTAACTAAGAAGTCAGGAGACAGATAGGCACTATGGTCGCTAAGCTTTCCTCAGGCACAGGCAGCAGCTGAAATGTCACATCCAGCAACACTTCACAACCTAACCTCATTTGCATGAAGAGGGGAAAACCAGCCGACAAGATGCCAGCCTTTACTGTGTAAACTAGTAAATGGATGACATTTACAGCCTAGGTCCATTTAGTCAGCTAGAATGTCATTTGGATGTAACTTTACTGTTTCAAAACGTAAGCCGATTTGAGCTACTTTTGTCTCTAAAGTTAAGAAATGATGCAAGGGTAGGCTCCTCTGGCTTCTTTGCAAAATGTTGTCTTCCAAAGTGCACACTTGTCCTTTCGTGGGAGATTAAAGTCCTGTTCATGACAATAGTTCTTCATTTAATGTAAAGTAGAAAGGGCAGGACAGGAGGACAAGAACAGGCAACATCTCACCGCAGCATGGTAAAGATAGTGTTGGCTTAGTTTGCGACAATGAATCAGCAGCGGAACATGCAGCCACCTAAGCCTTCATCAGGGCACTGACCACAGTACGGGCGTTGAGGCTGCGCAGGTCGTTGTAGGTCTGCCCTGTGCCCACAAACACAATAGGCTGGCCTGTGATGTAGGTCATGGAGATGGCAGCTCCAACCTGTGGAGAAGGGAGGATGACTCATGAGTGCTATCAGCTTTACGGCAGCTATTCCTATGTCAGGGAAACAGCTATGGAGAAATCATTAACTGCTTCAAAAAGATTCTTAAGAGGACGTATCACGTGAATAAAACCAGACAGGAATGCACAGAAAAACACTCAAATACCTTGTCATCGATTGTGTCAAACTTAGTGAGAACAATTCCATCGATGAGGCGAGGCTTGTCAGACATGGAGTGGTCTGCCAGAGCCTGATTGAACTTCACCTGAGAACACAACCAAGTGAAACATTCTGGGAAAAACTGACTAGGACGAGTTAATATTTATAACACCAGCTTTCCACCTCTGTTTACAGAGTGTAGAGGTGGAGACTGGAGACAGAGAGAAGATCGCTGAAATAACACTGACCTCTGCTGGAGAATATAAGAATTGCAGGGATCCACTTTAGGATTTGTCTTATTTATTACTGTACTGAGTGCCCTAGGGATGGTGTGTTTTTTTTTTTGTAGGCCAACCTGGAAGTTGGCATCACCATGGTTCCTTCAACAAAAAGTCAATGGGATTTTTCCATTTATAGCACTTGCACATTTTGTTCAGCAAGATAATTGTCACAAGTGAACTCTATGACTGTGCAAGTCCCAACATAACCTACAGACTGAAGGTAATGCATGTGCTGCTTTCCAGGTCTCTATACTCTTGAAGCTGAAGATGATTCAAAACCTGAAATCTCTGCTTCAGTCAGTAGTAAATTCTTGTAGCCTATCACATAATTAGATGTAAATGTTTCATTTTAAGCTGTCAAGAAAACAAGAGCTTTTACTGAAACTCACTTTCTCAGTGTCAGTTACATTTTTCTGTAAGCATGTGACATATCTGAACAAAAAGTCTGAATTTGTCAGGTGTCTTACCAGCTGGTCAACTGCCTCGTTGCCCACCAGAGCTTCCCCAACAAACAGCACCAAGTCAGGCATGTTGACTGCAATAAGTTTGGCCAGGGCTGTCATTAGGGGGGCGTTGTCCTGCATACGCCCAGCAGTGTCCACTAGCACCACATCAAAGGCCTGGTTGCGGGCTGGTGGGGTGAAAGAAAAGGGCTTAGTGACATGCTGCAACATTATCAGAACAGAAGCTTGCTTCATGGGTTAAATTCCAACTTTCAATCCTCTATATCCATTCCTTCCTCTCTTTTCAACTGAGCTATGGTACACTGAAGAAACCACATTCTCCGGGTGAATCAACTTCCTATTCATGTTCACTACAAATTATATCATTTAATAAAGTAACTAGAAAGTTAGTGTTTTACCATAGGCAATGGCCTCCATGGCAATTCCAGCTGCATCTTTCCCGTAGCCCTTCTCATAGAGCTGGACTACTGGCCGCCCCCCATGCTGTTCTGGAGGATGCAGAGAGTTCAGGCGACGCTGATGAGTGCGGAGCTGCTCCACTGCCCCGGCACGAAATGTGTCACAGGCTGCGATCAGCACTGTGAAACCATTCTCTATCAGCCAGAAGGAGATCTGAACCGAAACAGAGAGTTCTGGTTCACACAAACACTTGACATTTAAATGGTTACATTCTGAAACAAGATATCTACCAGCTGGAGCAGGATAATCAATAAATATTGTTTATCTTTACAAATATAAGAACAGGCCTTCTTTTCATGGAAGAAATTTTGATATGGCACAGTAGTAAAGGTATAGTTTGATAACTCATTTTTCACCGACAAAAATGTGTAAATGTAATGTTAAAAAATGGTTTAAAATATAAGAATTAAAATGTAGCTTGCAGGACACTTTGCTCCAGCCCACAAACTAACCCGGATCCCATGTTCTACTAACGCTGCTACCTGACCACAAACTCACAACAAGAGGCCAAACAGTCAGGGGAAGAAAAAAAAAGTCACAGAAACAACAGAGAAACATACTGCAAAAAGGTGGATTTAGGGTAGGTGTCATTATGTTCATGAACAACTCACCTTGGCCAGATTGGTGGACTTTCCAACCCCATTGACACCACAAAATGTGATAACAAATGGCCTTCTCTGGCTCTGCGCCTCCATTACATCTCTCAGAATATCCACTCTTCGCTTTGGCTGCAAGATCTGCACCAGCGAGTCCTGCAGGGCCTGCTTTAGGGTTGAAGCCACAGCTACAAATGCACATGAGAAAAGTTTTTGTACACAGAAAGGCTGAAGACAATGAGAGCCCAATTCACTGAAACATATGTCGTAATGTGAGCACGTGGTGCTGAAACATTCCCCTTTACCTTTAATATGTGTAGGATATTTCTGTGTTTACTAATAATTCTACCTATTTTAAATCACATTCTATGTATATGAAACTGACGGGAAGATATCTTTCTATCATTGTGATTATGTGCATTACTGTAATCACATCACTTTTCCAGTGTAGACTGGATTCTCACAGGTGAAAGAAGAGAAGGTGAACATTGCGTAAGTAATCCTTACTCCAAATAAAAAGTGGGTGAGGATCTATAGTCTACTGCAGTGTTTCCCAACCAATGTGCTGCGGCACATAAGTGTGCTGTGAGAAATTATCAGGTGTGCCGTGGAAGATTATCCAGTTTCACCTGATTGGTACTCTAAGGAGCAGCGTGTAGTGACAGGCAGAACAATTACCTGCTCTTCCACTAGAGGGCAGTGAGAAGTATGATGACACTAAGTTGCTCTCAAATGACGAGTGGTGTGCAAGACTGGCATATATATTTCAACATCTGAATGACCTGAACACACGAATGCAAGGCCGAAATGAAAACCTGCTCAGACGTACAGATAAAATAAAGGGATTTTGTTCAAAGGTGCAGCTCTAGAAACAACATGTGAAAAGTGCCAACTTGAACATGTTCCCACAAACCCAGCAATGGCAGGGTGTCAACAGTGCTGCACTGTGTGAGACAATAGGTAAAAATCTGCAAAATCTTGAGCAGAAATTGTCATGTTTTGTCATCCAAGCTCTGGAATGCCCTGCCCCCTGAGGTTTGATCTATAACGGAGTTATATAGAGTTATAGATCTCTAACGGTTTTTAAGTCTAAATTAAAGGCGCATTTATTCAGACTGGCTTTTGGCATCTAATATTTAGCAGCGATGCTATACAGGGCCTACAGGCCTTCCTGATTTTATATTTCGTAATCTCACTCTCTCTTTGTTTTGACTCATTTTTATTCTACAGGAGTATTATAGTTCTTACAGATCATTGTTTTAACTGGGTTAGGAACCCATACAGCTCAACTGCAGTTGGAAAGGACATGACTTTGCAGGAGCAGGAAGAAATTACTGAACTGAGACAAAATCATGGTCTAAAACTGGAGCTTTGCTGATCTACCTTTGGACAGTTATTGGCTGACTCCTGCCAACCTGCCAAGCAGTTCCCCATTCTGGCAAACAAAGCTATTTCAGTTCTGCTCCCTTTCTCCACAACCTATCTATGCGAGGTGGGCTTTTTGAGCATGACTGCTATAAAGACAAAAAAGAGAGACTCAGAGCTGTTGAGGAACATCTTCGTGTGTGTCTTCAATTCCTGCAAGAATATCAGCTTTTTGTTCAACTAAACAGGCCCAGGTTTCACACTGAGTAAGTAAATTGAGTAAACTAAGACTAGATTTTCATTATATTTCAATAAATATACTTTTTGTGACATTTTTGTTTGGTGGTGTACCGTGTGATTTTTCTAATGTAAAATATGTGCCGTGGCTCAAAAAGGTTGGGAAACACTGCTCTACTGTGATTACATTACATGAAAGTGAAAGGTTTACTTACTGGTGAATGTGCCCATGACTTTGCCCTCCAGTTTTTTGGCTACAGAGTCACAGAGCTGGGAGGCAATGTCGGCTGCTACATTCTTGGCTGTAAGATGATGATGATGATGACGATGAAGAAGAATGAATAGCAGACAATGCACCCTCGCATCTTGCAGAATAAAGATGGTGAGAGAGAAAAAGGTGTGACATCATACCGATCAGATGGTCCCTCATCTTCTCCAACACAGGCTCCATGTCCTCCCGGGTCAGGCTCTTGGAGCCCACCAGGCCTTTCAGCATCCCCAACATACCCCCAAAACTGCCACCTTTTTTGGAGCTAAGAAGAACAAATCAAAGCTGGGCACTTATTCACATTTGAGACAAATGTACAATGTACAATGATACATACAAAGAGTTATCAAAATTAAAAAAACATTTTCTTACCTTGTCTTGCTTGTTTCACTGCTGGACACAGTCTCGACTTCCTCCTCATTCTCTCCTTCCTCACTGGACTCGCAGTCCACAGGCAGTAGGTCTCCCTCCATAGAGCTTAACTGCATCCCCTGAGCACATCCAGAACAAAGAGGACTTATCAACACACTCTTAATTTTAACATGAGTGTGATTACTACATAATGTCACCATAACTAGGAACTTATTAGGAGTGGTGGGAGTGCGGGGTTACATACTGGATCAGTTTGTGCTTCCTGGTTCTGTTCGCCATAATTGGGGGAACCGTCTCCATTCCTTCCACTGTAGTCCAGGTCCTTAGTGCTGCTACCACCCATCTCCCAAACACGCATTTGTTTCTCCCTTGGTTTCTGAGGCTTTGGAGACTTACTACAAGTAAGAACACAAACTCAGCAATAAGCAATCAGACATGCTTTCTCACAAACTTACAAAACCTAATGGCTACTTACTGCTGGTGAGCCAGCTAATGCAAAATAAATCCGTAACAGTGTTCCCCCTAGGCATGGTGGCAAGAGGATGACAAAGGTTTTGTGTGCACACACTAACATTTTTGGTTGTTTATTTCTCATGCAATGTAAGACAAGGTTCTATCTAAACTTTACCCCATATGGGCATCTCTTTTGTATTTCTCACAGGGGGTCTCAACAAAAGTCCTCTGGGATGTTCCTCTTCTAAGCACCTCTTTATGCTGACAGTATATGTGACAGAACATTCATACAATCCTATCAGTTAAGAAGGACAATGTAAGCTGTGCTATTTTCATAATTGTTGCTTATAAAAAAAAAAAAAAAACTTGTGAACATGACCCTGAGATACCTAAACTCCTTTACTTGGGGAAGCAAATCACTCCCAACCCAAAGGCAGCAATCCACCACTTTCTGACAGAGCACCATGGCCTCAGACTTGGAGATGCTAACCCCTCTGGGTCCCAACCACATGATGTATATTTGCTTCTATCCGCTGGTTCACCTGCTGCTTGTGTTTGCCCCATACATAACCTATATACCTGCATCACTGATGCTTATGCTAACACCGGAGCCCTTGCCACCACCCCATCACCCCCTTTGTGCCCTTCTCACCTTTCTCCCTTCTTCTACCACTTCTCTACCTCTCCTCTCTTCCTCACCTTCATTTGTCTCTGGGGTTTTGGAGAAAAACATTCATATTTTTAGATGAGTATCCCCTGGTTTCCCATTCTTAGGTGGTGCCATGCTCATGTTAGCATTAATAGCAGCCAAATAACATTAGCTGCATTACTGGGAATCATCTTGTGTTTACTCAACCTTCATTACAACAAAGGTTTGCTCTGTCATGATTACTTCGTGATTAATTATGTTATGTTAAACTATTATAATGGCACTGATTACCGACACATTGTAACATGGTGTAACGTACTGAACGTGCATACAAGAGACAAATAGAGTGACACTGCGGTTCCACGAGAATATTAAATATCACAAATTTACTGTAAATTAGAGAAGCCTGGCTGAAGAATCAGTGAAGGTAATCCTTTGTTTCCATAAACCTCAGTGTATGCATGAAATCCATTAAAAGCGGTATTCTGTGGTCACACTCATTAATGCCTTTCATGTATTCCTGGGTTAAACATGGAGAGAGGCACCTGCCAGAGACTCCCGATTGCAAATAATTATTTCCAAATGAGCATATATTGGACAGTAGTATATTTTTAAAAAATTAAAATTTTCCTGCCATGTAGGCATGGAGGGGGGTCTCTATAGGGTCTTGTTATACTGTAATAGAGGAGACACTGCTGTAATTATGGCATTTATTTTAATTATATCTTGTTTGACATTTATGAAGTTTTATTCTCGTACCTAGGTTTTTCAGTAGGTCCCACCATGCGCTTGCGGAAGAATTCCTCCCTTTTCTTCTGCATGACCTCCTCAGGAGTCAAGCCCTGGTTACCATTCTCAACCATCTTCTGCCCAGAGGCCGAGGCCCTGCCTTGATCACCTTTGGGCAGCTCAGCTGCAGGAGCTGGAAAACATTGAAATATTAAATTAAGTTAGGTTTGAGATTTAAATTACAATATTTTAGAACAACCACTTTTGTCATTACATACCCTCCTTTTTGGCATTTTTATTCTTCTTGCCACCCTGTTCCTTGCTTTTGTCCCCACCCTTCGTCTCAATCATTGACTTCACAGTCTTTTGTGATTTTTCAGATTCCTTAAAGGACCGCATGAGGGCAGGGCTCCGAGCTTTGCTGCTCTTCTCCGCCTCTCTTGTGGTTAACATTTTGTATATATCAGCATGAACAAGAGGAGAGAGGTTTTGGTTACTGAAGCCTTTTTGCTTTTTCACAGCTTTGTTAGTCATATATATATATATATATATATATAAAAACAGGATGACACATGTTCTTTGTTATGACAACAAAGTTCAGCCATGAGTGAAACTGTACCTAAGAAGCATCTGAAAATCATCCCCGAAGTCAAAGTTGTTGCTGAGAAGCTGCAAAGCTCCCTTTTGCTCAAGCTCATTCTTATAACGATCCCTAAAAAGAAGCTGGACATCATCTATGAACTTGTCGACGTACGTAAGCGTCAAGATCTTTTGAAAACCCACCTGACCAGAGAGGGGGACAAAAGGAAGAGAAATGATAAACAAAGTGTTTAAAAAGACAACACTGTGCATATTGGTAACAGATGTGCTGTCCACACATCAGTTTATTCTGCATTTGAGATACTTACCACAAAGATCAACTCGAACTCATTGTCGAGCTTATATTTAAGATTCAGGGCCTCATGAGTGAACGAACTGTTACCACTTCGCTCCTGTAACATCACAGACATCGTTGATATGTGAACAGGAGGTAACGTCAGCTGTACAAGTCGTGGCTGCTAAAGCTACTGTACCTTTGTGTGTTTCTAACACAGTCAAACACGTCACTGTGGCACAAACTATATCGAAATTCAGCTAAATAAAGCTCTGTTGGTTGGGTGATTTCTGTCTATTCACAATACAAAACCCGCTTGTTTGTTACATTGACGTTTCGCAATTAACTAGGATTTACTGTTAGCGTTAGCATTAGCATTAGCTCCCCGAGTCATACTGTGATTTAGGTTATATAAACACAGATGTCAGGGGAGTTGAACCTGTCACTAGGTCTTACCTGAAGGATCACGGAGCGGATCAAAGCGTTGACAGGCCCCGTGAAGGATTCAGTGACGCCGGCTCCCTGAAAACACCACAACACTATCCCCCCTTTACTGAAGATGGTGAAGAAATCTAGCATCTTGGCACCACGTATCTGAATTAAAAACACACAAATAACAACAAAGACGAAAGACATTGGATAAATACATGGGTACGCAAACCTTTAAGAGCTTATTGCACCATATCCAATCAATTCAGTCTTACCGGATAATACTTAAATAGATTATAAACCACCCACGAGGAAAACCCCGCACCGATGCAAAACTGTTTTTAGACACGTAAGATGCTAACCAGGAAGTGACGCTCACTTCCGTCGGGCTCTTGCGCAGTTTGATCATGATCGTTTTGACCAATAAGGATGTTTAAAACTTCTAATTCTTATAGAATATTAGTACATATCTTTAAAATTACGCATGAAACCCATAAAAAACAAATTCGACATTAATGTTTTCATTTTCTGCTTTGTTATACTCCACTAGGGTACATTAATTAAGTGGCAACCTATCTTTTCTCCACTTCTTTATCTTTTCTGATTTAAATATTATATATACGTTTTAGATTTAACATGCAAAATTATTAATCCAAAATGTGATGCATAGATTAAATTACACAACAGGCTGGACAGGGGCCACATTGTCACTGAGGGCTTTGGCATTATTAACAAAGTGAGAAGTGGCTACTGATTAGATGGTGTAACTTAAGGGAGGAAGTGCAAATGCATAAATCGCTAGGACAGGCCAGACTGGTAAGTACAAATATAACATTTTGCCAACACTGCTCCAAATTTTCTGGATGAATTCAACAAAGTTTATCTAATTTTAAACACATTTATAAAGGTATAAAACTTCCAGCTGTGCATATGATGCATACCACAATATATGTCACATGTACATTGTTTGTAAAACACATAATAAAGATCATTGTTTTGGGTACATTATGCTGAATTTTAATTATATGCACGTCTTTTCTACACATATGTGGTTGACAAAGGGTTAAGTCCCTGCTCAGTGATGTATAAGTCTGGGACACATTGCATTTGAAATTTGCCTGAATATGTTGAGGCATCACATCAAGCAGATACTTCCTCTTTTCTTTGGTAATGTTAGTGACACTTGACAAAGTTTTCCTTTGTCGTTCTTTCATTTGCCATCACTGGATTATGTCACACTGATGAAACTGCTGTTCAACCATTACAGAGCATATAGAGCAGAATGATTTTTCACTGAAAAGTACATGTATTTCTCAGACGGATTTTGGAAAGGAGCTGAACAGACATGATGATGCAATCAAAATGCATGGTAAGTTCCAGTTTGTTTATATGTTTCAAAACGTATTTGTACTTTATAGTCACTTCTCATCTCTTGAGATATGAGGAAGCTCAGAAAATCATGACACCGATGTGCAATAGATATAAATTGTTAACAAGAATTCATGGATATCAGAATGTGTAATCAAATTAGAAATATGAATAGTTTGTGTGTCTCGTTTCAGGCTTGTTCCAAAAACTCTTGAAACCACGTGTATCTCTATCAACACAACATGAACAAGAAGCTAAAGTGACAAATGTGTCAACATCATCTTCATTTACATCATCATTTTCTTCTTCGTCTTCATCCTCGTCATTACCAGAGACAGCTCCTTCTAAACCACCACAGCCACATTCTGCTCTGAGCTCGCCGCAGAGATATAATCGAAAATATGACTTGCTTGTGTGCCACAGTCATGCTGACACTGAAGTGGCTTATTGCCTGGTGTCTTTCCTGGAGGCTTCACCTCGCAGTCTTAGGTGTTTTTTATGGCAGAGGGATGTCGGCCCAGGAGGTGCAATCTTCACAGAGTTCTGCCAGGCTGTGCAGGACAGCCACCTACAAGCTCTGCTTATCACTCCTAACTTCCTGCAGGAAGATTTGTGCACGTATATGATGCACCAGACTCTAGCAGAAGGCCCTATGTCCAATCGACTGATCCCCTTGGTCTATAACTTGTCCCACTCCCAGTACCCCCAGGAACTGAAGTTCTATGTTTACATTAACCTGAGCAATAACACTTGCCGAGGCTATACTCGCATCAACCAGACTGTGCTCGATTGTGAGTAATGACAAAAAATCTTGTTTGCTGGTCCAGCTCCATAAGCCCCAAGTTAAAAATTAGATCTGCTGATATACTTTTCAGTCATGGCAATTTAACATCCCATCTGTAAAGAGTTTCTGGAGGTGTATTAACCTCTGATAATATCTTCTTCTTTTCCTCTCCAGACCTTGAAGGCTTGGTTAAAAAAGAGGAGACAAATGATCGCAACATGGACAGCTCTAGCAGCAAATTAAGTAAGACAGATGAGCTGCTGCCAAAGACACACCAGGCTGAGACTTCACTTTCTCTGGAATTGATGCCGAGGAGAGATGAAAGGTTGAATGACATTTGCTGTGATCATCATCAACAGTAACTGGAGAACATGATGAAGGGCAACGGGCTCTGAATGGAAAACCGTTCTGCTATTGACTGTACTCAACTTTAGTGGTGCTTATATCATGTTATGTTGTGATTACAAGGAAAGGTAAGCTACTTGATCAACACTTGGTGTATAGGAGATTTAGAACAGGAACAGAAAAACATTTTTTCAAGCAGCATAGAGGATTAGAAGTATACTGTGACTGACCTAGTTGTGCAGCAGTTTGCCATTACAAAATGGTGTTTAACACGTCATCGGGAGTTAGGTTCATAGACTTAGTTTGTAAGCCATAATTCAGTTCAAACAGAGCCTATAATTTAAGTTTACAGTAAAGGGAACAAAAGCAATTTAAATGCATTTGATCCTTCTTTTAACAGAGAGAAATGACAGTATAGTGGGATGAAGTTCTGAGATGCAGATACCACTAGGTGGTGTACATTCCTTTACAAGCCAATTGAGAGTGCTGCACAGGAGATGTGAGCCATTAAGATGTGATCTGTCAAATCAGCACTGTGTCCATTTTCAAAATTTTAAACCATTACTATAAACCAACAACAATTACAGTAAGCCATCTTCTTGTGTGTGTGTGTTTACACACACTGTGTTAACTTGGCCTTACTGGTCCCCACCATGTAAATCATTGAATTTTAAACTGTGGCTTAATTTAAGGTTATGTTTAGGTTAAGGTTAAGTTAAGGGTTAGGGTAAAGTTTAAGCAAGTAGTGCTTATGATTAAAGCTGGAGTAAGTCTCCAGGAAGTGAATGTAGGTCAGTGTGAGAGTCAGAGTGAGAATGAAAGGGAAATACCCACCCACCACAAACTGCTGACAGTGCACTGGACTTTAAATGAAGAAAGAAACACATTTACATGTCTCTTAAAACCAGCAAGATATCAGACCATTGTCTCTGTTTTGCTGGTACTATTCCTTACAGACTGGTTTTAGCTCAGCTAGTTGGAACAATGTCTGAAAATGTTAATGTAAACAACAAACCCCTTCGTTTACATCTAAAGAAAAGCATTCTGTTTTAATATGATTGAAAAGCCTTGGCAGTACCTGTCATTGTTAATCAAGCATCTTACTGGCAGTGCTTCATGTCAGATAGTTGCAGTTTGGACCACTCAATATAAAATATTGGGTAATCATTAAATTAGTTGGTGCATTACATTTTTGTCATTGTTTTTTTTATTATTTTATGGTTGCTTTTTTCTTTTTACATAAGGTCCCATCTGCCTCTGAGAAGTGTGACATTTTATCTTTTTTTTAACTTTTGTTAATGCTCTATCATTCTCCCACCTCCTCATCCCCCCAAACAACAGCAGACCTTCAGGACTACAATAAAAGACCCTTGATAATCACCTCGTTTGTGGCATGCCAACACTGTAACATAATAATGTAGACTAATCTCTGAAAGGCACAGATGTTCTACAAGGCTTTTGTTATTACCACAACAAATCCTACCCCCGATGACACACACACAGACACACACACACACATAGTGCTAGAGTGCCTGCCAATCTTCACATGAAAGCAGCCAAAACATAAAATAATATTTATTTTTATTTTACAGTATAATATAATATCTATGTTGTTCTATTAAGTTGTGTAGCCTGAAATTCCTCTATGCTGTATCTATGTTTTTTAGTGTACCACCCCATCTGGCCCTCCCAACTAAATATTTTCTGCAGGTGCCACTGGGCACAACAGAAGGAAGTCGGGGAAAAAACGTTATCTTTGCATAAAAGCTCTCGTCCACATTCTTTAGGGGTTTTGTCATTCCCCAAACAGCAACTCAGGAAACTAATGCACCCCCGCCTCATATCCGGATCAGGATGAAAACTTACCCACCCGTTATAACTTCAAGAAACGACACCTAGATTGAGGAAGCTGCATCATATTTTATGTTGTGAAATGACAGTTACATTTTTAAATGGAGGGACTTGGTGTGTACAAAATCTACAGGATGTCCCTGTGGTGGTGTTAATCAATCATGTTGTTCCACTACTTGGCTGCATCCAGGTTTGATGTGCATGATATTACATTGCTGTTGTTGCAACAGTACATCTTAAAATAAATATTTAGCTGTGCACTGGATGAGTTGGTTCTGATGCAGTGTCAGGCAAACTCAGTATGCCCAATTTTTTGCATGGATGCCTCTGGCCTGCAAATTATGAAGGTTGTGGATAAGAGAGCATAGAATTAAATACCTTTCAATCTAATCTAAACTGTAATCTTAAGTCTCCAAAGTACAGTTGAATCATACAAGCACAGTGCTGATGCTGGTGTGGTGCCTATACCTTTCATTTCTTGGACCAAGTGCTTATCAGCCCAGCATGATTCTCTTAAATGGATCACCCTTCATGTGCTGCCCGTTCCTCTCCCACTTTATCCTTTTCCTTTTATTCTTTTTCTTAGTTTAATGTGTTTTTCCTGTTCAGCCTCCTGCTGTGATTTTGCTTATTTGCATCTGGTTGTTTATTTAGCAGTCAGTGGAGTGTAATTGCATATCCTGTATGTGTCTCCCTGTGTGTATACGAGATACTTAGTATGACTCGGTTTGTTCCACTTTCACATCATTGTCTCAGAAGGGGAAGATTCTATTCAGAAAGCAGTTTAAAAGATGGGGAAATAATTTGTTCTTCTTTCTTTCTTTACCTGTCACCAGGATAACATCATGCATTATGTAGATATGAGGGCATCCATTGTACTAGAAATCACCCAACTGTGTTTCAAACACTAAACTTATCAATATCTAGAAAAACACAAATATTTAACAGAGAAAGTGAAGCAATTTTGAGTCATCTGTCTTTGGTTTAAGTCAAATGTCAAGTCATGAATGCCACGTCAAAGTAAAGTCTTTATAAATTGTTAGTCAAGCAAGTCTCAAGCCCTCAAATTTGTGTAGTGTTCAGGGTTAAAAATTGTATTAGTATTATTTTAAGGCATATTCTTGTTTTAGATGGTGAACAAGAAGAAGGACGTGGGTACGTGTTATTTAGTAATTTAAACTCTATGATGACAATCCACATCCAAATATGTAATACTGGTTTGGCATTAAGACAGCTTTGTGTGTCACAAATAGAACAAACAATAACTGAAGTAATGGTATCTTTGATGGGTCACGATCACATGAGGAGGGCAATTAAGTCTGAAAAGAACGCTATTAAATTTCATCAACTGTTGAGGGAGAAATTAGCATCGTGCTATGTGAAATATAGCAGCACACACATCCTCCAGATTCCAGAATGATCATACAATTGAAGATGTACCTAATTAACTGCTTACTCACTATAAAACAAAACAAACAAACAAAACTGCTTACTCATTTAAACAAAACATCTCCTATGTTTCTGCATGAATGATGCCAACAATGGAAATCCTTGGTAAAACAAACCTGAAAGCTCTTGACTCTGAATATATAATCTCGCCCCTACCTCAGGTTGAATGGTGCCCCAGTGAGAGCTCATGAGGATGACGTGGGTTACTAACTTCAGTGATGCCAGTGCCCTTCTGATTTAAATGTAGTTTCCATTGCAGACTTCTTTCACTCTGTTGCTCTCTGCACCTCCAGCCTCCCACCACTAATAGTTGCAGGGTCATTACCCACTAGTTTGTACATCAATCTAGGTGCCTCCACACTTGAGGGTGTCATAGGTTCAGTTACATCTCTGTATGTGTAACTGAACTAGCAATACTTTACTTTAAGTTGTTCATTTTAATTTCACAACATCCTGTCTCCTGTCTGTCTCTAGGCAATCAGCAAGATAAAGGGCTGGACTTTGTAATAAATGTTTGCATTCATCCACAACAATAAAACCACTGGCAGGCACCCCCCCCCCCCCCCCTTCGGTTACAATGGCACCTGTCAATGGGTGAAACAATACACAGCAAAGCATACGTAGGATGTTGTTGTTCCGTCACTGCCTTCACTGTGTAGACACTTTTAAGAGGCCAAAGACTTGACTGAATTCTTAAGGCCGGTGTTGATGAGCTAAAAGTAAAGGCCTGTGGTTGCAGCTTCTGTTGCCTCCTATCACCATCTAGTGGTGAAATATGATGATGCAATTAATCCATACCCTTTGAACAGACTGATCTGAGCTTTCACTACACAACAAATACACAATTATCATTTGCTTTATACACAAAAGTTTGTTTAATTTTGCTTATTTATCTGGATCCTTATTAGCTTCCACAACAGTGGTTGCTAGTGCATTTATCATCATGCTGTACTCAGTGACAAACACCTGAATGCAAAAGCTTCTTTTTAAAATAATACTTTTAGTACTTATATTAAAACCCCTATGAGTATAATTTTTATGGGAATCTTATGCTTTTCTCTGTATAAAACTAACAGTCTCAGTGGAATTGGTGCAGACTGCGTGATGCTACAAGTAGGGGTCATCAATAATAGAAGCTTCTTATTATACACATAGGATCTTAAAGATTTTCTTTGCACTAGGCTGTCATTAAATTTGTTTGTTACAGAACTCACTGCATCCTACCATGGGTATCCTTGCTGTGTTTGTTGCTCTCAATTACTGTGAGACTACAATACAGCCTGATTTACCCCATTATGATTTGCAGATAGCAAATTATAATATATTGTAAGTGGGTGTTGAATAGCATGTCAAAATAAATCAACTCAAGTCAAATGTATTGATAAGCACATGTAAAACAACAGGAGTTTATCAAAGTGCTGTGCATCAGTCAATAAAAAACAACAAAAACAAAACAAGTACACATCATAAATCATAAATATAAGAACCAAATATTTAACAACCATCTTAAAAAATACAAGTATGTGAGAAATGTCATATTTATTGTTAGAAGCCTAGCAGCAGCATTTTGAATGAGCTACAAGTAGGACAGCAAGGACTGGCTAATTCCTGTGTACAGTAATCAAGTCATGATGAGATGAACATATGAATTTTACCAAATCAGAAAAAGTTAAACTTTGACTAATACTCAGAGCTGAAAAAAGCTAGATTTCATGATTGAATTAATTTGTCTATCAAATTTAAATTTGCCTGTAAAATAAAACTCCCAAATTCCTTGCACAAGGTTAACAATAGGAAACCAATGAAAAAAAAAACAGCTATCATGAGTGTTGGCAGGCCCAAATAAAAGTTTGTCATAGTTATTTCTTTAATGGTATCTTGACAAATTCAGCCTACATCATTTTTTAATCAACAAGGGATAACAGGGTTCGGGGGAGGGGGTGTTAATTTATATAGGGTTGGTAGTTGCTGTATATGCCAATAAAAATGCCCTGAGTTATTACATTTGAAAGAGTTTATGTTCCATCACTTCCACAATGTTACATTACCTACAAGTACATTGCTACATTTTTTTCTGGTACAATGTTACACAATGTCCAAGGGGGATCATGGTTAAGTTGAAGAACGAGAAAGACAAGATAACTATTCTGCAACGAGCCAGGAAGCTGAAGGGAACCAAGATTTTTTTCTGGTACAATGTTACACAATGTCCAAGGGGGATCATGGTTAAGTTGAAGAACGAGAAAGACAAGATAACTATTCTGCAACGAGCCAGGAAGCTGAAGGGCACCAAGATTTACATCAATGAAGATTTCCCCGAGGGTGTGAGGAAGAGAAGACAGGCGCTGATGCCGAGGTTAAAGGAGGCTAGGGCCATTAAGAAAGAAAGCAAAATGACAAGTGGATTACTTATAAATGATATTACTGATCATCTGCCTGTATTTCTGGTTTATGACTGCCATATTACAAAGGAAAGGCAAACAGCAAAACTGTACTACAGGAGGGTGATTAATGAACAAACAGTACGGAGGCTTAAGGAGGAGTTAATGGGGCAGGAATGGGAAGCAGTATACAGAGAGGAAGATCTAGATAAAGCATATGAACAATTTTTACATATATTTCAGGAAGTATATGACAGGACCTGCCCACGTAAGCAGTATAAAAACAAAAGGAATTACAGCGAGAAACCATAGATAAGTAAGGGATTACAGAATGCATGTAAAAAGAAGAATGCACTGTACAAGGATTTCATAAAAGACAGATCAAAAAAGACGGAAGCAAAATATAAGGCGTACAAGAACAAATTAGCTGAGAGCCTGAGGAGATGTAAGAAACAATATTACTCTAAAGTATTGGAGGATAATAAAAATAACATGCGAGGTACTTGGAATATATTAAATAAATTGATTAGAAACAGTTCCAGTAAGAGTAACTACCCCCAATACTTTATGGATAATGATACACCGGTCATCAGAATGGAGGATGCAGCTGATAAGTTTAACAGATTTTTTGTGAATGTTGGCCCTAGTTTAGGAAGAAGTATTTGTACAGATGCTTCAGCCGTCA